AGCGGGAGGGCGCCATCAGTGGTGGGAGCTCGCGCATGGTCGCGCCGTCGAGCTCCTCGCGCCGCGTCGCGTCCCAGCGCGGACCCGGTGGAGCCGACCGTCGCGCGCAAGCACTGCGGTCACCAGGCGCACCACGGCCACGCACGAGCGGACATTTCCATCACGGTTCCAGCTGAGGGAGCTCGCATGGACTGGCTGGTTTGCGGCGGCGGTCCAAGAGTCGGTTTCTGGGTAGATAGTTAGCTTTTTAGCTATTTTTATTGCGTTTTCAAGCACGTGAGCTCTGGAGCATTGGCGAACGCCACGTGCCCGCGCCGCGCCCGCCGCCGCCACGTCGCGCCGCAGTGCGGGCCCAGAGCGGGCCAGCGCCATCGGCAGCGGGAGCTCGCAGGAGATCGCTGCCGGCGAGCCCGCCGCGCCGCGCCCCAGCGCGGGCCCAGCGCGGGCGGCCGTCGCGTGGAGCACCACGGTCGCGATGAGCGCCAGCACCATCAGACTTGTTAGTTCCTCAGGAGGGGACAACACACACAGACACAATTAATCGTCCACTCCCCAGATAAATATGCGAAAATATGGGAAGTGGGGGAGGAAGACAAAAGCCCAGAAAGTATGGGACAATATTGAGAATCCTTTTATTTGTGTCTATTTATTTGTTTGTCCTAGAGCCCCGTCAGTTCCACCATCTCTGATTCGAGCCACCCTGCCCGCTGCGATACTCTCCTCGCGAGGCTGGCCCCCTCCCGGGAGCACTGATTACTCGGGGTGATCCGTGGCTCTGCACAGAGGGTGGCTGCTCACTGCAGGAGTCTCCTGGGACCGTCCCAGTTCCCAATCGAGGGAGCTCGCATGGCGTCACGTGCTCACTCGGCGTCCGTCGGCGTCGCGTCGCGCCACAGTGCGGACCCGAAGTGGGAGGGTGACGCTAGGTGAGGGAGTTCGCATGGGATAACCCCGTCGAGCCAGCTGCGCCGCGTTGCGCCCCGGCGCGGACCCAGCGCAGCCGACCGCCGTGCAGAAGCAACGCTATCCCGATCAGCTTTACCATTACCTGGGAGGAAGACGGCAACGTGGGCGAGAAGGAGGAGGAGGACGATGGCGATGCCGATCGCAATGACGGCGAAGCAGCTGGAAAGTTCGAGCGTTACGCGTACTCATTGTTGGTCCACTTGTCTCGGATAGCATTGTTCGGTGTCGTTGTCGCCGACGTTGCTGTTCTTAGTCGTCAGTGCCGTCATCGCCGTCATCGGCGTACCCCTCTCCCCTCATTTTCCACTTCGCCTTATATACATATGAATGGTTGTGTATTGATGTGATTCCTCTTTCCTCCCTTTTCCCCGTCATCTTCGCGGCCACTGCCATCCTCTTCTTCATCGTCTGGGACCTTCCTTGCTCCTCCGTCATTCTCTCGGCCTTCTGTTTCTTCTGAATACCCCCTGCTCTTCTCTGAACCCTTCCGTTGTTCTCTTATCCCTCCCGTTTCCCTTCCTCCCGTCTTTTCCCTTAACATGATCCCTCCCCTGTTACTCGGCCGAATTCCTCCACCAACCTCTACGCCATGTTCACACCCTTTCTCCTCATCGTCGCTCGTGTTGCGCTTTCTCCTCATCCGCCTATCCTCCTGTTTCTCATCTTCCCCCCTATCCTTCCACCTTATCATCCGTCCCTTCTTTTCCTGCTTGTTGAGCGGGATTGTCTCCGTTTATCCATTGTTCGAGCAAATTTCGAAATCTTCGGATTTCTGCGATGTCGATCCCGGCCGAGTGGACTCGAGTAAATTGTTCAGGCGTTTGGCGCGCTGTCGGTTTCACGCTTTTGAGGTTTACATGTGGAATATCGGATGGCGACGATTTTCCAGCACCGGGCGTAGCATCCAAGCGTACACGGCATCGCCGCATCGCCGAAGGTTTAGGCGATTATCCAGAGTTGTTTCGTTTCCGATCTAATGTTATGGTATACCGTGCTCCCAGTGATTTTTCAAATTTGTACATCGGAAAACTCGGAGCCAGTTGTGCTGCGCATCGCTGCACGATGTGTGAGCGCCGAAATGTCGTTTCACAAGCCTCCCCCGCGTATATGATTACCTAACAGCGAAGACTGATAGGTTTCTAGTGGTATAAAAAGAGACCAGCACATTACTCCACAGGGGGGTCTGGGCAGCCGTTGGGGAGCCGTTGGGGGGCCGTTGGGGTTTGCCGGGGGGGATCGTTTTTCGCATACAGTCACACACTTCGTGCTCTTCGACCTCCCAGAACTCCATTCCCGTGCCACATTCTGAATGCCCGGAGCCAAATGTAGGCCACTTCGTGCTCTTCGAGTTCCCAGAACTCCATTCCCGGGCCACATTTTGAATGCCCGGAGCCAACTGTAGGCCACTTCGTGGTCTTCGAGTTCCCAGAACTCCATTCCTGGGCATGATTTTGAATGCCCGGAGCCAACTGTAGGCCACTTCGTGGTGTTCGAGTTCCCAGAACTCCATTCCTGGGCATGATTTTGAATGCCCGGAGCCAACTGTAGGCCACTTCGTGGTGTTCGAGTTCCCAGAACTCCATTCCCGGGCCACACTTTGAATGCTGAGGCAGGCTGATGCTGAGGCTGAGGCAGGCTGAGGCTGAAGGCAGACTGAAGCTGAGGACGAGGCTGAAGGCAGACTGAGGCTGTCCCAGAATTCCTTTCCTGGGCATGATTTTGAATGCCCGGAGCCAACTGTAGGCCACTTCGTGGTCTTCGAGTTCCCAGAACTCCATTCCTGGGCATGATTTTGAATGCCCGGAGCCAACTGTAGGCCACTTCGTGTTCTTCGAGTTCCCAGAACTCCATTCCCGGGCCACACTTTGAATGCTGAGGCAGGCTGATGCTGAGGCTGAGGCAGGCTGAGGCTGAAGGCAGACTGAAGCTGAGGACGAGGCTGAAGGCAGACTGAGGCTGAGGCTGAAGCAGGCTGAGGCTGAGGCTGAGGCAGGCTGAGGCTGAGGCTGAGGCAGGCTGATGCTGAGGCAGGCTGAGGCTGAGGCTGAGGCTGATGCAGGGTGAGGCTGAGGCAGGCTGAGGCCGAGGCTGAAGGCAGACTGATGTTGAGGCTGAAGCAGGCTGAGGGCGAGGCTGAGGCAGGCTGAGGCTGAGGCAGGCTGAGGGTGAGGCTGAGGCAGGCTGAGGCCGAGGCTGTGACTGCGACTGCTGTTGCCACTGCGACTGCCATCGCGAATGCGACCACGACTGCGAGAACAGCAGAATTCTACAACGGGATTCTTATCTGAATCTTAAGGGGAATGCTTCCAGATATGCTCCTACACATCGCTGTTAGGTTGCTTTGCCGGGATAATTATTTTCAAGGCTGAACAAGTCAGGTTTGGTTATTGCCATCGTTTCCTCCAGTTCGCAGATATATCATATCTCCTTCTTTTCCTTCCCCCACCTTGATTCCTTCATCCTTGTCCCCCCATCATCGAGCACGTCGTTCTTTCGTTATTCGAATTCTAGACGTTTCGCGTATCCCCACCAGCCCGTCCAGAAACGACGCCCAGGCGAGTAGAGGGTCGTCCTGAGGGGCTTTTCGGCGTCTTGGGTGCCTCGGGGGGGCCTCTGTGGGCCGTTCGGGATCCTCTTTGGGGCCTCCTGGGGGCCTCGTGGGGCCTCTTGGGGCCATTTTGGGGCCTTTGGGAGCCTCCTGGGCGCTTCTTGGGGCAATCTTTGCCCCCTCAGAAGGCCAAATTGGGGCCCAAACCATAGTAAAAAGGCCTCTGGGAGCACCTTGGGTGCCTCTGGGGGGGTCTCTTGGGGCCTCTTGGGGGTCTCTTGGGGGCCTCCTGGGGGCCTCTTGGGGGTCCTCTTGGGGCCATCTTGGGGCCATCCTGCGGCCTCTTAGGGCATCCTGGGGGCCTCCTGCGGCCATCGTGGAGGAAATCGAGCAAAGAAGAGGGGAGCTTTAATTAGCGCTGCCCCCTCAGATGGCCAAAATGGGGCCAAAACCATAGTAAAATCAATGATTTTGGATTCCTCGCCGAGGCCGTTTTGGACGCTCTGACCGCTCGCGGCCCCCCCCGTCCAGGTCAGTGGGGGGGGTAGGGGGAGGGGTAAACCCCTCCCCGAAGGGGAAGAGGGAGGGGTGGAAGAGGAAACACCCTAAACCACCGATTGGCACTCGGTGTGTGCGTGTGACGAACCGTCAACCAGTGAATCTGTCACTACCACGTATCTAGCGCTGGACGTGGCCGACTACGCCTTCTGCCGACGCCAGGTCTGCACTATGATTACACGCTTGAGGTGCTCTGCCGACCTGGGCCGCTTGGCCCAGGTCGGCGACGATTCAGGCAACAGCCCGATTGCCGCAGTTTGCTTTCCTCGACGCTCTGGCAACACCGCTTTCCGCCAGGCTGGCCCCGTCGTTCGGGCGCACGAGGGGTAGGCGGAGGAGGAGGAGGAGGAGGAGGAGGAGGAGGAGGAGATGCGGAGGAGATGCGGAGGAGGGGGAGGGGGAGGAGGAGGAGGAGGAGGAGGAGGAGGAGGAGGAGGAGGAGGAGGAGGAGGAACCCCGAGAGATAGGGTTCTGCAGGTATTTCGGAAGTGGATCGAGAGTGGAGTTTCCACTGGATACCATTGTCTACTCCCCCGGCGATAACTGGCACGACCAGGGCGGGGGAGGGGGGAGGGGACCGGTCATGCCACGGTTTGCGCCAGCGCTGCCTGGGACTGCTCAACAGAGTGGTTCATTCCCAGACGGCGCCAGCGCGAGTCGTAACGTGACCAGGGGTGGCGGCGTGGCCGGTCACGGGCTTTATTGCGATGAATAAGCAATGGGTTCTCGTTTGAGATTCTCGTCCCCAGGCTTGGCATCGCTCGGACGCGTGCGTTTTTTCCTCGGCGAGGACAATCGAGGAGCATCCTTGATCATTTGGCGAAAAAACCACGCACAGAACCGAAAAAGACACAGGGAATGGACGTCCGAGCGATGGCCAGCAGGGCCCCATCCCTCGGGGCCCCATCCCTCGGAGCCGCCGACGCAGGACCTCTTGGCCTCCCTGAAGAGGCTGGAGATCCTGGACAACGCGCGGCTCACCGGCGAGGGCAAGCGGCGGATGCCCCTCAAGAATCGCGAGGCGGGGCCCACCGATGCGCTCTCCGCATAGGGAAGAGGCCGTCTGCTTTGTGAGGAGGGATCGCCGGTTCAGGGATGCGCCCTTGGGGGCCTTGGGGGGGAGGGGGCCTCAAGCGATGCAGCTTCAACCTGGGGTCCCTTCCCACTCTCAGGGTCTGATGTCTCAGTGCCCCATCTTTGAATCAAAGGGGGGAAGGAGGAGGAGGAGGAGGAGGAGGAGGAGGAGGAGGAGGAGGAGGAGGGGTAAGAAAAGGAGGCGAAGGACGGGGAGGAGGAGGGGCAGAGGAGAGAGGAGGAGGGAGGAGGAGGAGGAGGAGAGGAGGAGGAGAGAGGAGGGGAGGAGGAGAGGAGGGAGGAGGAAGGAGGGAGGAGGAGGAGGAGAGGAGAGGAGGGAGGAGGAGGAGAGGAGGAGGAGGAGGGGGGAGGAGGGGGGGGCGAGGGGGGGGAGGGGGAGCGGCAGGGCCAGCAGCGGGGGGAGGGGGAGAGGAGGGAGGAGGGGAAGGGGGGCGGCGGGAGCGGCAGGGGCAGCAGCAGGAAGAGGAGGGGCGAAGGAGGAAATGGGATGGAGGGAGGCAGGCAGTCAATCGGGCCGAACGAAAGGGGGGGATAGGCAAAGGGGGGGGTTACGAAAGCTGCTACATGCAGCTGGTTTCGGCCCCGCCGCCGGGCCCATTCCTCGATACATGGGCGCCTCCTGGCGCCGGGAGGCGCTACCAAGATCAGCTACGTGAGCTGATTCTCCACCCTGCCCTTTGCTATGCTATCCGCCCCTTCCGTTCCCCCAGGGACGAGGAAGGATGGAGGAAGGGTGGCGGGGATGGAGGACAGGGAGGGAAGGTAGAATGAGATGGATAGTTACTCGCTCGGCTGGGAGCAGGAGCAGGTGGCATTGGACGGGCATGTGGAGAGTGAGAAGAAGGAGCAGGTGGGAATCCGTGAGGAAGACGAGGAGCAGGAAGAAGGAGGGCGGATCAAGACGAGGGGGAAGACCTGCACGGGGAAGAGGACAAGGGGGAGCCAGGCAGCCCTCATGATTCATGACATGAACAAGCCGTTCCAGCGCGTTCCGGAACAGTCTGGAGTGTCCGCGGCGCCCCATGCATGTTCCAGATTGGCCGGTTCTTAGGGCTCCCTTGACCCAGTCACTCGTACCTGGTCTGTTTGCGTCATGTCTAGCTGGGGCAGCAGCGGCGGCGCCAACGTCCGCTCAGAGTGGCCCCCAGGACCCGTCCCCGTGGACCTTCCCGTGGTCCTCTCTGCCTGAGCCGCGACTCCTCGCGGCGACGAGAGGCTCCCGAGACGCAGCTGACAGACATCCAAGACGTCCGACGACGACGACGACGACGACGGCGACGGCGACGGCGACGGCGACGGCGACGGCGACGGCGACGGCGACGGCGACGGCGACGACGGTGACGGCGACGACGACGACGATGACGGCGACGACGCCGACGACGGTGACGGCGACGGCGAGGCGGCGGCGGCGGTGGCGGCGGTGGCGGCCGCGGCGGCGGCGGCGGCGGCATCCGACGGCGACAACGTTCGCGACCGCGTCGCCGCCGCTGGCGGTGGCAGCAGCGGAGCGGCGCCGGGCGGCGGCGGCACCAGAGGTGCCGGGCGGAGAGGCCGGCGCCGCCGCGCCGGGGCAGCAGGGCTCGGCGGGCTCGGGCTCCCAGAGGCGCGCGGGGCACGCCCCGCGCGCGGCCAGCAGCGGCGGCGGCGGCGACAGCGGCGGCGGCGGCGGCCGGCGGCGGAGGCGAAACGCGCAGCTGCCTCTCTGACGCTGCTGGGTCTGGGGGTCTGATGTCAGGTTTCCATATGTTGGGTATCGTTTAACCGATCCCCAGCCCCATCCCCATCCCCTTCGAGACCCCCACCAAATTACCCCTCCTCAGTTAGGGATACACCCCTCGAAACCCGAAGGGAACGGCCTATATTGCTATCTAGGGGGGTAAATCGGCCAGTGGGGCCCAGGCCACGCCGCTGGGGATGGGGATCGGTTAAACGATACTCATATGTGCTGGTGAGGGCTTCGAGGGTGGGGGGGATGGTAGGCTTCGGGGATGTCCCTGGAGTGGTCAGGAGGCTTCAAAAGAGTTTGGGGAGGAGCAGGGGGGCTGGGGGGTGAGGAGGAGTGAGACGTGGATGGTCGGCAGCGTTGGACGCCTTCCGGAGTATGTTTTAAGTATTGTTATGTGGCATAGCTCAGACGTGTGCATTATTTCTCGGCGAAGACCCTCGAGGAATATGTTAAATCATCTTGTGACAACTCAGCGCGTGACATCGAAGAATGCACGTGGAATGGACGTCCGAGTGATGGCGAGCTTAGGGGGAGGGAGACGAGGAGGAGGAGGAGGAGGAGGAGGAGGAGGAGAAGAATCAGGACCAGGACCAGGACCACGAGGAGGATGAGGATGAGGAGGAGGAGGAATATGATACATAGTACAAGAGGAGGATTTGGAGGACGGATTAGGTGAAAGGAGGAGGAGGAGCAGGACTAGAAGGGGGAGGAACAAGAAGCGAGGGCGCGGGAGGGGGGCGGGGGATGGAGGAAAAGGCACCGTGAGTGTACACCCCCTCTTCGCTGCCTCACTCTGCCCCTCCGCCTCCTTCCCCCCCTTCCCCCCCCTCTCCCCCCCTTCCCTCGCCCACGAAGAGGAGGCAGCTGAGTGGCGGCGCCCGCGACGACCCGAGGACGACAGAGAAGGCCGCGCGGGAGGGCACGCGGGGGCAGACGGGGCCCGAGAGGAGGGGACGACCAGGCAAGATCAGGAGGCAGCATCGGTGCAGGGGGCGTTTCGATTCCTCAGATTTGATCCGATTCGCAATGGACGGCTTCCGATTCGGATTCGATTCGACTTGGGATTCCGATTTGGGTTCCGATTTTTCAATGAGGCCTTACTACTCCGCCGATTGCCGCCGATTCGACTTCTCCCGACTCGGCTGCCGAGTTCCGCCGATCCGATTCATTTCGATTGAATGTACTGCCCCTCCTCTGCAGTCGTAATCGATCACTCGAGCTCCACCTTTTCCTTTGGATGTGTCAGGGTCTCCGACTTCGGCACCCTTCACCCTTCATTGTGCTGTGCGGGGAGAAGGGGGAAAGTCGGAGCCCGAGAGCCCAGGGCTTTGCAAACAAGGTCTTTGCCGGATCCGGGGGCATGGAACGAACCATGGGCCATGTGTCCCTCCACGGCTGCAGCCTGGGTCCGGGCACGCCAACGTCATGGATCATCAAAGTCCCTGTCTACGGGCCGGCGAGAATGGGGGGAGGTGGAGGTGGAGGTGGTGGGTGCGGGGTGGAGGCGTCCACACTGCGATCGGCGACCAGGACTGGTTGCGCTGCACGTGTGCATTGGGGGAGGCGGGAGTGGAGGGCGAAGCGGGAGACAGGAACAACGGAAGGAGTGCCGGCGGGAAGGACGGAAGAGATGGAATGGACCAAGGACGCAAAAACAGGTCGGGAGGACCGACGGGGAGGAAGGGGGGGATGGAAGGAGGGCGGGGAGAAATGCAGAGGGAAAGAAGGCGGATAGAGATCGGGAGTTGAACGGGGATGGGGAAAGTTTGGTTGGGTGCGTTCGCGTGCTAATGCGTGCCCGTTGCAGGCCAAGTCGCCCCCCTTTTTTCGCTCAGGAGGGAACAATCCGCACAGGCACAACACAACACGGAAAAATATTGGAAATGGAGGGGAAGAGGGAAACACAGAAAACATGGAAAGGCATGGGATGTCTTGGAACGTGCGTAGATCTACTTGTGTCCCCCTGGGCCCCTTTGCAGCCGACGCTGATAGAAGGACGAGTGACATCTAAAGGATGCCCTTGCATCCTGGCCTCCTCGGTCATCTCCTGTCCATCCTCGACCGCTTTCGTACCCCTGGCTTTGGGCGCTACTCTGGAGCCCATGTAGGGTCAGGAGGAAAACACACAGACACAATTGATCGACGACTCCCAGAAGAATATGGGAAGTGGGGGGGAAGACGCAAAGCCAGAAAATATGAAACAACATGGGGGAATCCTGGGATATGTGCGTATTTATCTGTGTGTCCCTGGGCCCCTTTATAGGGGCCCTGAGAGCATCGTGGGCGGGCGCCTGGAGGCCACCTGGGGCAGGATCGAATCGAGAACTCGGATCGAGTCGGACTGTGCGTCGGTTTGGGCCGAGTCGGCACAAAGCCGACAGCTCCAGAGAGCTCTTCGGCACGGGCGTCCAAGGCCCCTGCATGTTTTCTTGCCGCACACCCACACTCGGGAGAGGAACAAAACACACACACACACACAGACAGACACACAGACACAGACACAACGAATCGTCGACTCCCAGGAACATGTGGGAAAATATGGGAAGTGGGCGGGGGAGACAAGAACCCAGAAAACATGGGGAATCTTGTTGTTTGTGTCTATCTAGTTGTGTATCCCAGGGCCTCTTCCACCCTCACCATCAGTCTCCATTGCTCGTTTCCGCGGAGGCCGCGCCCGCTGCCCCGCTGGCCGTCAACGGCCTCCAGTTCCGGGGCAAGAAGACCGCCTTCGCGTCCGACTCGGAGGTCGGGGGCGGCCAAGGGGGGGGTGAGGGCCAGAGGGGGGTGGACATCATGGCGGGGCCATGATGTCTCCCCCGATGTCATGGCCCCCCTTCTGATCTCAATTCGTTCCCTCGCCCACCGCCGGGCCGCGCACATGCCGCTGGCGCCATGAACTGCGCCCCCCCTCTTCTTGGCATCCCTCGGACGTGTACATTTTTCCTTCGGCGAGGCCCATCGAGGAGCATCCTTGATCATTTGGCGAAAAAAACACGCACGAAACCGAAAGAAGCACAGGGAATGGACGCCCCAGCGATGGCGAGTCTTGGACGCACCCTTCTTGGCCGACCCCGAGGAGGGCGAGGGCGCCGGACGGCCCCCTGGCGCAGCGCCACTGGCGGGCCGCTCGGCTGGGAGCACCGCGCCCCCTCCCGGCGGCGAGCCCGGGGGGGGGGATGAGGGGCGGTCGTCCTCAGAAGGCCCCTTCAGAAGGCTTGGAGGTCCCCTGACCCTCTGAGAAGATTTCTGAGGCTAGGGGAACGAACAATGACAAACAACAAAAGCTCGGAGGTCCGCGCGGATTTCTCGGATCGGCGCTGGACCCCTCTCCCTGGCGCGCGGAGCTCGCCAAACGCTGCGCCGCAGGCGCTGCCGGGGGGCCCCAGCGCCGGTCCGAGAAATCCGCGCGGACCTCCGAGCTTTTATGCTTATGTCACTGTTCGTTCCCCTAGAGACTACCCCGAAGATGCCGAACACCTCTCAGGAGGCCGGAAGACTTCTGAGAAGCCACGCCGCCTTCTGAGAAGGCCTCCTCCTCCTCACCTCCCCCCGCTCGCTCGCCGCCGATTCCCTCCCTCCTTGTCGGCGGCGACCCAGGCCGAGTAAAGGACGGCAGCAGCAGGCACATTCGGACCTCCTCGCGGATTTCTTGGACCTGCGCTGGGCCCTCATTCTGTTCGGCCGAAAGGGGGGGATTGGGAAAGGGGGGGTTACGAAATCTGCTGCATGCAGCTGGTTTCGGCCCCACCGAGGAGCCCATTCCTCGATACATGGCCGCCTCCGGCGCCAGGAGGCGCCAGGAAAATCAGCTACGTGAGCTGATTCTCAAACCCCCACTTTGCTATCCCCCCCTTTCGCCCGACCCGACTCATGGCAGCGTCTCCAACGCTGCCCCTGGCCACAGCGCTGGTCCGAGAAATCCGCGCGAACCTCCGGGAGTGTATGATCATGCCGCTTTTTATCCACCTACCAGAGGGGAAGTGAGAGGGGGCAGGCCTTCACGGAAGGCGGCCGTGCTTCTCAGACGCCCCGCGGCCTGAGAGGCCGTGTCTCGCCTTTCGGAGAGGGCTTGGCAAACTAACCAGAAGGCGCGAGGGTTTCTGAGAGGCCCCGCCGCCTTTGAGAGGGCCTGCCCCCTCTTATTTCCCCCTTGGGCTCGCCGCCGATTTCGATTACAGTCACGCCGCTGAAATGAGGGCCACTGTGGGGTCAGGAGGGGCTCTAGTTCGGTGTGCCTACTCGGGAAACCTGTTCGCGGCCGAGGCTCGTCGTGGCCAGAGACGGCCCTTCGTTCCTTACTCCGCGTCCGCGTCCCTTATGGTAGCACGATGGCAGCATTCGAAGGAGAAAGAACGTACAAACATACCCTTTCGGAGCTCCGCGCCGATCAGCAGTGTCCACGGATGGTCTGTTCTGAAGAGGATGCGCCCGCCATCCGTGTGCGTCATCAACCATTTCGAAGATACTGTCATGAGTTTTGCGGAAGTCTAGCTCAATAGCGATTCCTTGAAAAGGAGCCGCACTTTGACAGTGAGAGTTGCGTGTCGAAGACGAACTGGCCTCCATCCTCATAAGTGTTCTGAGTTTCTTGCACGGGCGTGCGCGACGCTAACGCCATAGCCGCATTCCGAGCACCATCGGCCCTCCATCCTTATAATTGTTCAAAGGTTAGCAAATCATTACGCGCGGCGGTAAGGCGCGGAGCTGCATTGCGGAAAAGACAAGCCCTCCATCCCTGCAGCTGTCGACAATCTTTGAAAACGAGGGTGCTCGCCGCTGAGGCGAGAACCGCATTTATGAAAACCATTCGCCCTTCGAACAGTCAACCCGCATAGTAAGGAAGGGCAATCTTCCTAAGGGTACCCTTGCATCCTTGCCTCGTCGGTCCATCCTTTGCCGCTTTCGCTGGCCGCGCCCCGCTCGAAAAGCTTCGAAATGGGCGTCCAAGGCCTTTGCATCCTTATCGCGTATCCTTATTATACTGGCTGATTGTCTGAAATCATTCGCCCTTCGTATGTGTGACTGCTGGACGCGATGTAGCCTCAGGACTGAGTCGCAAGGGCGTCTCAAGCTGAAATCGTCCTGCCCGGCCTCCGACGCGCCCGTTGGCGCGACAGGGGAAGTGTGTAAGGAAGAGTGACAGATGGCGGGGGCGGCAAAGAAGCAGAGGTTGGAAGAGGATGTGGACGGAGCGGAAGCAGGAGCACGTGGATGTTGACGATGTTGACGAGCGATGAGGGTAGAGGATGAGGAAGAAAGGGAGGAGGAGGAGGAGGAATAGGAAGAGGAGGAGGAGGAGGAGGAGGAGGAGGAGGAGGAGGAGGAGGAGGAGGAGGAGGAGGTCGAGGAGCATAAGGGGGAATGTGCAGGGTAGGAGGAGGCGGACAATAATGATGTTGATAGGGGATGAGGGTGCCGATGGTGCGGTTTGGTGGTTGGGCCGCGCGGCGCGGCGCCAGCGGCCTGCCGAGGCCCGCGAGGTGGCGCCTGCCGCCGAGGCCCGCAGGAAGCCCAGGAGGAAGGTCAGGGCCACCGGGGCGGCGGCCAAGGAGACGGCGGCCAAGGAGGCGGGCACCGAGGAGACGGTGAGCAAACAGGTGCCTGCCGAGGCCCGGGAGGCGGCGCCTGCCGCCGAGGCCCGTAGGAAGCCCAAGAGGAAGGCCAGGGCCACCGGGGCGGACGCCAGGAAGACGGCGGCCAAGGAGGTGGTGACCGAGGAGACGGTGACCAAGAGGACGGCGGTCAAGAAGAAGGTGAGGGTCTGTTCGCATTTTGTTCGCCATTCCATTGCCGCGCCACCTTCCTCCTCCTCTTCCTCCCGCCAGGTCTGCTGTTGCACGATCGTGGAGTCGCCCTCCCCATCAGTTGGTAAGCCCGGCGTTTGTGCGGAAATTGTGTCTGGCATTTCACTTCTGCAGCTTATTAAAATTACGGTGATAAATCAGCAGGGGGCCAGGATGTACTCGCAGCTTCGAAGGCGCATTGACAGAGCCAGCTTCCGCTGAATAGGGTGTGTTCCTTTTTCACAGCAAGTGTCACACAAACACACACACACTTTTTCGTCGGCGGCTAGGCAGAGTCACTGCGCTTGCGATGGAACACAAGCAAACTCACCCATCCACCCACTCGTCCATCCATGTACTTACTATCTCGCCGTTGATCCTTTCTTGACGTCTATCTCTCGATTCTTTCACTCACTGCTGGACTCATCCTCTCACTCCTTCGCTCACGCATTTACTCATACACGTACTCTTGATTCATATTGAGGGTGACGTTCACACTCATGTTCGCACTCGAGCTCTCGTCCACACTCGATTTCCCACTTACGAGTGCGTTCGCATTCGATGTATGCTACTAGAAGAGCACGGTGCGGTCGCAGGAGAATGTCGTCCCGCTCGATCTTGCCTCGCGCGCCTATTCGAGCCCATCGGCGTCCGCTCATTAATCGTTCCTCCTACCTCCCTGGGTACGTGCTCCTCTATTCCGAGGCGGAATTTGTCCAGGACCACCGCCTGGGGGGTCTCGGCGGGCGGTAGATGGCTAGATTCGGGCTGGGGCGGGGCACATGCATCCATATCCACCGCCTGCAGGGGAGGAACGAGTACCGATAATTACCGCTGCTCGTCCTGGAGAGCCCTCGTCGCCACGACTGGATTCCCACCGCACTTCTGGTCAGAACGCACAGGGCCGATTTAGATCCGATGGATCTGATTTGAGGTCGATGTCGGCTGGCACGATACGATCTGGCTGCGGTGTTTCGGTAATCCGATGCGGCCCGATGTTTGCCCGACACCGTGGTGCATCCCGGCGTGGCCGAGTCTGTGCGTGCCTGGTTCCGTCACGATGCGGCCCGACTCGACTTTCCGATGTGATCCGACTTATCGATTCGGTGGCCGCCGCTCCTGCCATAACAGCTAGCAGAGCGCCAGGTGAAGCGCTGTCCCGCGGCTGAGCCTGACGCTCGATTGGACGACACTCCAGGCTACGATCGGGCTCGGGCCCCGTGCATTCGCTGTGCCTGCTTGTGTTGTTCTTGTGTGACATCAGGTCTCGCGCGATGTTTGTTTCCAGCCCCAAGCCCGTGATATGTGCGACAAGCTTCGAAATGCGTGGCCCGCGAGCCCTTTCTTGAACGCTAGTCAAGACCTGGAGCACCTTGACTCATTGGCCTCCTCTTGTTTTTCTGACTCCCCCTTTTTCCACCTTTGCCCCCCGTTCATTCTCTTCCTCCTCGCGGGCCGAGAAGGGTACATGTCGTCATGGACAGCACAGGCATGAGTCTGTTTGTCAGTGCGCAGTCTGAATGCCCAAAGGGTTTCTAGTTCTGCTCCCTGAAACGATGTCACAACCATCTTTGTTTCGCGTGATGTTTCACACATTATACGTTGTGGATTATCAAGTGTTTGTAGACTGCTTTCCGCCAAGGTTCTGTGATGAGGCTGGGGGTGGCCCCCACTTCCCCTTACGCCGCTTCCCCTCCTTCCCCCTCCTCCCACAAGCCCTTCCACCTCTTCCTCCACTTCTTCCCCACTCCTTATCCATCCTCCCCTCTCCCTTCCCCCTCCTCCTCCAAGCCCTCCCACCTGGTGTCCCTTCCTCCAGCTCTCCGTTGCTCCTCCTCGAAACGCTCCGACTCCTCCCCCTTCCTCCATCCCTTTGCCTTTCGGAATACATCCCTGACGCAACCCCAGACGTGTCGTTGGGGCGGGCCGGGCGTTTAGCCAGATAGTTCCCCAGCATGTATGACCCCGAAGCTTGGACGTCGCAGCAGCCTCAAGGATACAGGGCGGGCCGTTTTCAGCATGTACAGTCAACGCGCCTAGTAAGGACGCGCGCCTTCATCCAGGGTACCCTTGCGCCCTTTCCTCTGCGGCCCGTCCCATGCCGTTTTCACTGCTCGCCCGCCGCCCAAACAAATCCCAACTTCGGCCTCCAAGGGTCTTGCGTCCTTACCTCGCGTCCTTACTATACGTTTTGGTTGTAGCTCTCGCCCTAGCGCCGCGCGCATTCGTCAAGACGGCAACAACTTCAAGGATGGAGGTGGGCACTTCGAACATTGCGGCTCCCACCACGCGGCGTGCACTCGTCTTGCATTTCCGCGCAGGTCCTTTCCGGACGGAGGGCGGCCCGTTTTCGAGATGGGCTTCTCGCCCTGGCGTTACGTCGGGCCTGTCCCTCTACAGGGGAGACAGTCAAACATAGGCAAACAACAGTCTGGGGACGATGTTTTGACCATTTTCGTGCATTTGTTGAAGCATTTTTGGTGTATTGTTTGTGTTTCGTCAGGGCCCGACCTAACCCTGCCGCCGCGCGCATCCAGCTTGAGCCAAGGACTCCGACTGGGGGTGTAGCGTCGCGCGCATGTGGTCGAACCATTTGCAAAAATTTGAAAGATGATGTGCGGGTCCAGGGCTGGACCTAAACGGTGTTTTTGCGACTTCGTGGGCCGTTTTCGTTTCGACTTCGTTTTGCGGTGAAGGCGAGTTGAAGACAAAACGAAGGAAAACGAGAACAGAACAATAACGAACAGCAGCGTTTAGCTTCAGCCCTGTGCGGGTTCTTTTGCAGTGGGGTGTTCGTTTGAGGCGCAGGCTAGAAGTTTGAGCAGATGAAGCAGCTGCGCGTCTGAAGGCAGGCTCTTTTTTGAACATAGGGCGTTCGTTCGAGATTTTGTCAAGTCCAACCCGGCTTGGACCTAAACGCCGCGTTGCTGCATTTCGGCTGTGTTTTGTTGTTCGTTTTGGGAGGGAGGTACAGCAAAACAGGTAGAGCAAAACAAAAGACATAACGAAACCATAACGAAAAAAAACGTTTAGGACCAGCCCTGAGTCCAACTGCGCTGCCGCGAATATCCGCCACCGTGCTTGCGAAAGTGGCCCCGAGAGGCTGCATTTCGGCAAGGCGTGCAGTGCTTTTGCGCGACGCCCAGACTGCACCAAAATCATTGAATCACACACGTAGCACCACACATACTGCACCACATAGATTGCAGCACGCGGGTTGTATTCTGCGGGTCCCTGCTGGAAGTATGTGGAACAACAGTCCGAGGTTGAGCAGATGCTCCCACGTCTGCTCTCTCCTCCCGTTCCCCCCATGCCGCCCCGCCTTCTCCTTTTCCTTCCGCCGTACCTGCCGTATCTACCTGCGTGCTTCCGAGGGGCTCTTTTGTCTCATCCCCCTCCTCATGTTCGCCTCTCATTCCAGTCCCTTCGCCTTACTGGGTCTCGTCGGCAGTGTCCTCCACCTCTCGTTCATTTCCCAGCGCCTGCTGCTGCTGCTGCCAGCCTGTACAGTGTCATCGTTGCCGCGTGCCCCTCTGGTCGTAGCGACAGGGAATATGTTCACGTGCTCGTGGCCAACGGGAAATATCTGGGAAGCAGGAATTTCCTGAAGTGGCTGTGCGGTGTGTGTGTGTGTGATTGTGCGTCGTTCGTCGGAGCAATTTTGGGGGTTCCGTTGGGTCGCGTGGACCCTGCAGGGGGCGCTTCTGTGATGAGTTGTGTCTGTTTCGACGCGTACGAGGAGGAGGAGAAGGAGGAGGAGGAGGAGGAGGAGGAGGAGGAGGAGTGGAAGCGTGCGGGTTGATCCTCACATTTCTCGCGGCGGCCTGTGGGTTCGGGGGACGCTTTTTCGCAGGGTGCGGTGTCCGGCGAGCTCGGCGGACGGCTCCACTGGTGACACCTGGCGCTTCCCTTGAGTGCCGCCCCCATCTCTCCTCCCCTGCTCATCCTCTCCCCGTCCCCTCCCTCCTCCCAGTCCCCAGGCAAACAAAAAATGACATAAACATCAAACACGGAGATCCGCGCGGATTTCTCGGATCGGCGCTGGGGCCCCCTGGCAGCGCTTCCGGCGCCGCCAGGGGGGGGGGGTCCAGCGCGGATCCGAGAAATCCGTGTGGGCCTTCGAGTTGTCATGTTTATTCCCAAATCAGTGTTTGCACTGAAGAGGTCCTAGCGGAAGTTGAAAGAATTGGCGAAAGTATCCCGCCGATTTTGGTAGCAGGTTGGGTTCCCTCATTCCGTGTTCCCGCGTTCCCAGTTATTGGTTCCGGGCCGATTTCGGTGGGTTTTGGGTTCCCGGGCTCGCGGGTTCTCCGTCGATCCCCTCAGCGATAACCATCTGCCACTGATTGGGGCTTTTCTCTGGAGTAATTTTATATCATTTTTCGTTCCCCCCGTCCCCTCCGCCCTCCCTGCCCCTCCCCTGCTCCCCCGGAGGCGCCGCGGTGGCCCGGGCCCCGAGGAAGAAGAAGAGGGCGGCGAGCTCCGCGCTGGAGAGGCCGCAGCTCACGGGCACGGGGGGAGGAGGGAAGAGGAAGGGAGGAGAGGGGAAGAGGAGGAGATGGGAAGAGGAGAGGGGAGAGAAGGGAGGAGGAGGGAAGAGAGAGGAGGGGAGGGTGGAGGGAGGAGGAGGGAGGAGAGGAGGGAGGGAGGAGAAGGAGGAGGAGGAGGAGGAGGAGAGGAGGAGGAGGGAGGAGTGGGAGGAGGAGTGGGAGGGATCAGGGGGGAGGAGGGAGGAGGGAGGAGGACGAGGTAGGACAAAGTAGGAGGATTAGGAGGGAGGATGGAGGAGGAGCATGGAGGAGAGGAGGGAGGGGGAGGGGAGAGAAGGGGAGGGAGTTGGAGGGGGAGGGGAGACAAGGGAGGGGGAGGGAGGACAGGAGGGAGGAGAGGAGGAAGGAGGAGTGACATTCACAGGCCCATACAAGAATTTAATTCCAGTGAGGGAAATGTCCCGTTGGGAGACAACCGTTTAAAGATGCTTAAGAGTACCAAGACTCCGTTCTCTGGACTCCAGCGCACGAATTAATATGACTGCTGAGTCTTGACGATCCTGAGTCGTGCCAGAACACCGTTCTTGGGACTTCAACATCGCGAATCAACATCACGGTTGCGTCCTGACCATCCTGAACCGCTCCGCAAGACCGCTTCTGCTACGTTGACAACGGGAAACCGTGAAGCGCCTGCAACTGTTGAAGACGAGTGTGCGCGGCGCTAAGGCGAGAGCCACATGTTGAAAAGGAATCGCCCTACATGCGCGCAACTGTTGCATGTTTTAGCACGCATTTGCGCGGCGCTAAGGCGAGAGCCACATTTTGAAAACGGGATGCCCTCCATCAGTGGAAGTAGTGCACATGTTCAAGACGAGTATGCCCGGCGCTCAGGCGAGAACCACATTTTGGAAGCGGCCTGCCCTCAGTCTGTAAAACGATTGCCAACTTTGACGTTTCAGGATGATGAATGGTAAGGAAGTCTTAGGCGAAACGCCCAGCCCGCCCTTCCTACTTGCCTCGGGGTGCTCGCTTCGCTCATTCCGCCGGCCCGTGTTGTGCCATCGTTTGCGTTTGCGTGCGCGTTCGTGGGCCATGCGGCACTGCTGGTCGGCGTTGCTGCGGTTGTGGTTGGGAGTCCTGATGGATGTTTCTTGGTGTTTCTTCGGAGGGTTCTCGGGGTGCTCCCGTGTAGCAGTTTTCGGGGCTTTGGGGGGGCCTCCTGGGGCTGCCTTGGATGCCTCTTGGCGTTTCTTGGGGGCCTCTTGGATCGTCTTGAGGGCCCCTTGGGGCAGCCTGGACGCCTCTTGGGGCGGGGCTCGAAGGGCTCATGGAGCTTCTGAGGAGCTTTTTTGGACGCCTCTTACGGCTTCCTGGGCGCGTCTTGAGAGCCTCGTGGGGCCTATGAGAACCTTGTGGGGCCTATGGGAGCTTCTCAGGCCTGATGGGGGGGGGCTATGTGGGCGATTTAGAGCTCTTCGGGGGCTGGGGGGGGGGCTCGGGGGGCGATTTTGAGGCCGAAGCGCCCGTTGGGGGTCCCCCTCGAGGGTTCTTCCTGAAAGCGTCTTGGGGCTCTCCAGCGCCGTCTTGGGAGAAACTTGGGCCATCTTGGCGTCCCCGTGGGCCGTTTTGGGGCTCTCTTGGAGGCTTAATGGGCCGTCTTGGAGCGATCTTAGGGGCTTCTTGGTCAATTTTTGGAGCGTCGGCGGCCGAACGTTGAACATATTTAGAAAAAACCTAGGAAAATCATTGAAATATGCATGTTTGGGGCTTCTTGGGAGTGGTCTTGGAGGCATCGTCGGGCGTCCCAGAGGCGGTTGAAGCCGTCTGGAGGCTATCTTGGGCATCTTGGAACGACTTCCGGTAACTCTGGGCCCTCTGAGACAGCTTTGGGGGCCTCTTGAGACGCTTTTGAAGGCCTTGAAGGCAGCCCCCAGGAGTTCAGCATCCGTGGCGGGAACCGCCAGGGGACCGCCCGAGATGTGCATGCGCTACGCTTCGTCCAGGGACCCCCGACGGCAGCCACGCGCGCGCGGACGATTCGAAAGTTGTTTCCGAGGATTTTCACACGCCTCTTGCCATCTGGGGCGGCGAATTTGGTAGGAACAAATTAATGGAAGAGGAGGGAGGAGGAGGAGGAGGAGGAGGAGGAGGAGGAGGAGTGACTAGTGCAAACCCAAGACTCATCAACGATGTTGGAATAAGCCCTCCCTCGAAGCTCCCTCTTCGCAGGCCCCTACAAGGATTCATTTCCACAGAGGGAAGTGCCCCGTTGGGAGGTAACCGTTTGAAGATCCTGAAGGGTGCAAAATCAGTGCTCAACACTGTTCTGTGGACTTCAGCGCCACTCCTTGCGTATTGACAATCCTGAATCCCAGCTGAACACCATTCCTGGGATTACACCACCGCGAATCAACCCGTTGCGCCCTAATAATCCTGAGTCGTTCCCGAACATCAGTTCTGGCACGTTAGCCATGGAATTCAGTGAAACTCCTTGCAATTTTCAAAACGGGAATGAGCGGCGCCTAGGCGAGAGACACGTTTTGAAACGGAACCGTCCTCAATATGTGAAGTTCTCGATGTTTCTAAAAACGAATGTGCGCGGCGCTCAGGCGAGAGCCACATTTTTGAAAGGAGCCGCCTTCCATTGAACCTTAGAATTGTTTAAGACATGTGCACGGCGCCATGGCGAGAGTCGCATTTTGAAAACGTCCCACCCTCCATCTGCAAGACGGCTGTCATCGATATTGCGTTTGCTCCCCCACTAGTTGTGATGGTTGTACAGTCAACCCGCATAGTAAGCATGGGCAACCTTCCCAAGGGTACCCCTTGCATCCTTGCCTCCTCGGTCCATCCTCTGCCGCTTTCGCTGGCCGCGCCCCGCTCGAAAAGCCTGGAAATGGGCGTCCAGGGCCCTTGCATCCTCATCGCGCATCCTTGCTATACTGGTTGACTGCAGAGTTCGCCGCCGAGAGCGCACCGCAGGGGGCCGACCCCCTGGGCGGTGGAAGGCACGGGGCGACGCCCGACACGGGACGGCGCCCGGGAGTGCCCCCGCCTCGGGGGTTGGCCCCCCCCCCCTTCCCGACGTGCTCTCGGCGGCAGTGGACCGTATCGTTGCACCGATCCCCAGCCCCACCCCCATCCCCTTCGAGACCCCCTGCCTCCTGTATGCTCTTGGCATCGCTCGGACGTGTGCATTTTTCCTTCGGCGAGGACCATCGAGGAGCATCCTTGATCATTTGGCGAAAAAACCACGCACGAAACCGGAAAAAGCACAGGGAAGGGACGTCCGAGCGATGGCGAGTGTTTCCCCCTCAGGGCGTCGCCGTCGTTCCCAGGGCCATCTCCCATGGCAGAAACAAACAAAGGCGCAGCGGGAGGCGTCTGCCCACTCGGGCTCGGGCGGCCCTCGCCGGGCACTGGGGGCAACGAGGAAAGGACGCCAGGTCGGTATCGTTTATCCGATCCCCATCCCCATCTCCATCCCCTTCGAGACTCCCACCAAATTACCACCCCGGTTGGGGATGCACCCCTCGAAGCCCGAAGAGGACGACCTATATCCCCATTTTGGGGGGCAACTCGGCCAGCGGGGCCCAGGCCACGCCGCCTGGGACGGGGAGCGGTGAAACGATACTCAAGCGGACCCAGGTACGCTGGGTGGGGTCTTTATCGAAGACGCCTACGGCGAATCACCGCCGCCCCCTGCCTTCTGAAATCGCCCATGCGGCCGAGCGTTGTGGCAAGAGCTCTGCCAAGCTATCGAACCATGCGTTCCCCAAACCCTTGTGGAAACCCTTCGGGGAACGCTTTGGGGAGAATGGCGGGAAAGATCAGGAGGAGGAGGAGGAGGAGGAGGAGGAAGAGGGGGCATCTTGGGAGCCTCTTGGGGCACTCTTGGGGCCTCCTGGGAGCTTCCTGGGAGCCTCTTGGGGGCATCTTGAGGGCCTCCTTCCTTGGGCCTCTTGGGGGCCTTTGGGGGCTTCTCGGGGGCCTCGCGGTCTGTCTCAGGGCATCCCTGGTCCCTCTGACTCCGTCGGAAGCTGTCTCGGGGGCCTCTCTGGGCCGACTGGCCCTCTTGGGGTGCTCCAGGGCCGTCTTGGAGGCCATCTTGGGCGTCTTGAAGGCCTCTCGGGCTGTCTGGAGGCCGTCTTGGGGGCCTCTTGGGTCGTTCTGCGGCCATCCTGGATGCCTCTTGGGCGATCTTTCTGGGCTCTTGGGCCGTCTCGAGCCGTCGGAAGGCAGTAAAGAAACTACTGCCACAATCCTTCAAAAACCGAAAGGAAATCAATGATGCTGGCCTTGCTGGGCTTTCCTGGATTCCCTCTTGGGAACCTCGTGTGGGCCTCTGGGGCCGTCTTGCACCGTCTTAGAATCATCTTGGCCCGTCATGGTGGGCTCCTGGCCCGTCTGACGCAATCGGAAGCTGTCTTTGGGGCCTCTCTGGGCCGACTGGGGCCCTCTCGGGGTGCTCCAGGCCCCTCTTGGCCCGTCGTGGGTGTCCCTCGTGGGCCCGAGCAAAGTATGCGACCGCACTTCCCGGAGCCCAGGGGTCACACGGAGCGGGCACGCGCCAAGCCCCGGGAGATTTGAGAGCTAGGGTTAAGTCGGGCCTGTCCCTCTACAGGGGGAATATTCACAAATAGTAGAACATAGTCTGGGGACTATTCTTTGAATATTCTCTTGCACAGGGTGTCTAGAGCTCCGACCACTTTATTTCGGCGTCGTCGTCGCTCCCCCCCAGCTGCCTTGTGCTATTCATGTGTCGCTATATGTGTCGCTGTGTGCCGTGTGCCCTTCATGTGCCGCTATATGTGTCGCTGTGTGTCGCTATGCGTCTCCATGTGTGCGTCGCTATGTGTCGCTGTGTGTCGCTATGCGTCGATATGTGTGTGTGTGTCGATTTATGTCTCTATATGTCGATATGTGTCGACATGCGTCGCTAGGTGTTGCTCCCCAGCAGCCCAGCGCACCGCCCCCTCCGCCCCGACGACTTTATTTCGGCGTCGTCGTCGCCCCCCCCCCCCCTTCTCCCTCTCCTCAGCAGCCCAGCGCGCTCCCCCTCCGCCCCGACCATTTTATTTCGGCGGTGTGTCGACATGTGTCGCTATGTGTCGCTCCCCAGCACCTCAGCGCACCGCCCCCTCCGCCCCGACGACTTTATTTCGGCGTCGTCGTCGCCCCCCCCCCCCCTCCCTCTCCTCAGCAGCCCAGCGCGCTGCCCCCTCCGCCCCGACCCCTTTATTTCGGCGTTGTGTCGACATGTGTCGCTATGTGTCGCTCCCCAGCACCCCAGCGCACCGCCCCCTCCGCCCCGACGACTTTATTTCGGCGTCGTCGTCGCCCCCCCCCCTCTCCCTCTCCTCAGCAGCCCAGCGCGCTGCCCCCTCCGCCCCGACCACTTTATTTCGGCGTCGTCGTCGCCCTATTTCGGCGTTGTGTCGACATGTGTCGCTTTCCCCAGCAGCCCAGCGCACCGCCCTCTCCGCCCCGACCACTTTATTTCGGCGTCGTCGTCGCCCTATTTCGGCGTTGTGTCGACATGTGTCGCTATGTGTCGCTCCCCAGCACCCCAGCGCACCGCCCCCTCCGCCCCGACGACTTTATTTCGGCGTCGTCGTCGCCCCCCCCCCCCCCCTCCCTCTCCTCAGCAGCCCAGCGCGCTGCCCCCTCCGTTCCGACCACTTTATTTCGGCGTCGTCGTCGCCCCCCCTGTCCTTTTCCCCAGCAGCCCAGCGCGCCGCCCTCTCCGCCCCGACACCTTTATTTCGGCGTCGTCGTCGCCCCACCCCCCCACCCCATCCCCCTCTCCCGAGCAGCCCAGCGCGCCGCCCCCTTCGCCCCGACCATTTTATTTCGGCGTCGTCGTCGCCCCCCACCCCCCCCCCTTCCTCCCAGCAACCCAGCCCAGCCCAGCACACCGCCCCCTCCGCCCCGACCACTTCATTCTCTTGCGCAGGGTGTCTAGAGCTCCGACAATTTTATTTCGCGTCGCTCCCCCCCCCCCCCGCGTCCTCAGCGCCAGAGTGGGGCCCCCGCGCCGTGGCTCTCTGCCCCGAGCCCCCCCGCGTCCCCAGCGCCCCAGCGGGGGCCCCGCCCACTGCCCCCTCCGCCACGAACGCTTTATCCCGCGTCGCCCCCCCCGCCCCCCCGCGTCCCCAGCGCCAGTGTGAGGCCCACGCGCCGTGGCTTTCTGCCCCGAGCCCACCGCGTCCCCAGCGCCCCAGCGGGGGCCCCGCCCACTGCCCCCTCCGCCACGAACGGTTTCTCCCGCGTCGCAGCTCCCCCCCCTCCCCCGCGTCTCCAGCGCCAGTGTGGGACCCCTGCGCCGTGGCTCTCTGCCCCAAGCCCCACTGCGTCCCCAGCGCCCCAGCGGGGCCCCCGCCCACTGCCCCCTCCGACACGAACGCTGTATTACACGTCGCACCCCCCCCCTCCGCGTCCCCAGCGCCAGAGTGGGACCCCCGCGCCGTGGTTCTCTGCCCCGAGCCCCCCCGCGTCCCCAGCGCCCCAGCGGGGGCCCCGCCCACTGCCCCTTCCGCCACTAACGCTTCATCCCGCGTCGCGCCGCACACCACCTCCCCCACCTCCCTCCCCGCGTCCCCAGCGCCCCAGTGGGGACTCCGCCCCGTGCCCCCTCCGCCCCGACAATTTTATTCCGCGTCGCGACGCACGCCACCTCCCCCCCTTCCCCCCCTTTCCCCAGCGCCCCAGTTGGACCCCCGCCCCGTGGCCCTCTGCCCCAAGCCCCGCCCAGTGCCCCCTCCGCCCCGACAGTTTATTCCGCGTCGCGGCACACACCACCACCCCTCCTCTCCGCGCCCCCAGCGCCCCAGTGGGACCTCCGCCCCGTGCTCCCTCCGCTCCGAGCACTTTATTCCGCGTCGCGACGCACGCCGCCTCCCCCACCCTCCCCACCTGGGACTTGGGCCCCGTTGCTGGGCCCAGAGGGCGATGCCTTGCCCCCTCTTCCCCCCTCCTCCTCCACATCCTCCTCCTCCTCCTCCTCCTCCTCCTCCTCCTTTTCCTCCCCCTTCCTTTTTTTGTGCAAGGGCTATGGCACACGTGCCATTTGTTTTTTTGACCATTTGGGAGTATTGTTTGGGTATTTCTTTGTTTCCTCGAAAATCTCCCTGTAGGGGGACACGCCCGACTTAAAGCTAGGGGTCTGGGTCCCTCGAAGAATTCGCAGGAGTGAGGAGTGAGGCTCAGAGGATCCAGCAAAGGACCTGAGGACTCGCCCACGCCGTGCCCAGCGGCACGGCAGCGCGCGGATCAAGGGGAGAGGTTGATAGACCTTCCGACGGAGCTTGCCCATTCCCCCCCCCTCCCTCCTCCCCTCCTCATCTTCCTTTCCTTCCCCCACCAACCCCCTGTCCGCCCGTTCCGACAGTCCGCGCCCAATCTCCCACAGCGGATCCAATGGTGGGGGGGGGGGGACCGACAATTGTCCCATCCAGAGCAGTGGGAGGGCAGGATACCTCCGCCCGGCTCACTCCTGCAGGCGTCGCAGCCACCGCACAAGACGACGAGGGGGGTTTTCGGTGGCGAGGGTCCCCGCTTCTCCCCATATCTTGGGCCCCTCTCAGAGACCTAGAGGCTGACACCAACACCAGTATGGGCGGTGTGCCTCCACCGAGGGCAGATGATCATGGTTTCGATAATGGTGGCATTAGTCGTGCTACCTAGATGGCCGAGATATGAACACCGACTAAAAATCTAGGATCCTCTTCCCCTGGTGGAGGCAGCCCCCTGTTTTGGTGTTGGTGCCCATTTTCAGGCCTCCAACCCTTGAGCAGGGACCGACCGTCCCGGCATTCCTATAGGCTTACCACGAAAGGTTTTTAGATCTCCAAAGCGTTTTAAGAACAATAACCCATGTTCTTAGAACAGAAACCCGATTTGTTAAAACAAGACAGTCCCAGCCAGAACTGTTCTGAGAACATTTTGTGGAGGCCACAAACAGGTTCTTAGAACATGGTTTGGCAGGCTCACGCCAGGACGCTTCGCCACTGCTTGAGACCCTCCCCCCCTCCCAGCCCAGGAGGCGGGGCGAGCCGGCGGCAGCCGCCGACGGGACGGGCAAGCGCCGCCCGCGCTCGCCCGAAGGCCGCGGGGGGCCTCGGGTGCCTCTGCGCGGCGCCGCCGCGCAGAGGCTGCGCTGCCCACGGTCGCCGCCTCCTGTTGTTAGATTTAAGTCGGGCCCGTCCCTCTACAGGAGGAATGTTCAAACATTGTAAAGAAATGTCTGGGGATGATTGTGGTAGTATTTTTGTTTGACAGTTCGGAGCATTTGTTGACTAGTTGTTATTTTTCGTCCACTGTTAGATGCCCGTTTGTGGGACCTTCCTGAGGCCCACCTAACGGATCTGTTCGACTCTAGTTCGACCCCAGTTCTATTCAATATCGACTCAAGTTCGACTCAGGTTCGACTCAAGGTCGGCTCAAATCGACGGACGTTCCGCGCAGCTTCGACGCACGACTGGAGCGAGTGTCTCCAAGAAGGTCCTCGGAATGAGCATCCAACTGCTGCTGCCCCTGCTCCTGAGGGGCATCTCTTAGGGGAGGTGTATAGGCTCTGGGGTCGAGACGGCTTTCTCGGAATCGGGGTGCGAGGTTTTCGGCAGTTTTCGTAAAGCCTCGGCATGTTTCCGGCCTTGGGTTGCTCCCCAGCAGCTGCGCCTCGCCGAGGGCGTTCCAGGGGTGCCGGGATTGTCCCGAACGGTCGCCGAAGAGCTCATAGCCTGAAAACCAAGGGGCAACGTCAGAAAGGAATAGGCTTAAGTCTGGCCTCCTGTCCCTCTACACGGAGAAAATCAAACATGTTGGGAAACAATAGCCTGGGGACGATTTTTGGATTGTTCTAATCTGGGGGATTTTGGGGCATGTTTGGAGTATTTTCAGCGTTTCGCCCAACATCCCCCTTGTAGGGGGACAAGCCCGACCTAAGGCTAGGTTCAGGGGCGGGGATGCGTCGACCCCTCCCGTCGCCAGCTGTTCGCCGAGGGGGGCCCGAGGGGCCCGGCCCGCGCAGGGGCGTGCGGTCTCTCGCAGCCGGGGGCCCACCGCCGATCTATCGGGGACGTATCGCCGATGCCAGCTCGATGCTTCTCAGGATGGGAAGAAGCTCACAGACACAGTGAATCTTCGACTCCCTGGAACATATGGGAAAATCGGGAAAGTGGTGGGGAGACAGAAACCAAGAAAATATACGAGACAAGAAACCAAGAAAAAACACCAAAATCACCAAGAATCTTGGTAGTTGTGTGTGTGTGTATTAATTTGTGTGTCCCAGGGCCCCTTCAGCTTCCCACCTGAGCCAGTCCCCCCTGGCGCTCCCTGCCAGGCTCCTCTGACCATGGATGTCAGGCAGTGGCGAGGCGTCCTGGCGTGCCCATGGGCCTTCCCAACAACGTTCTAAGAACCTGTTTGTGGTTTCCACGAAATGGTATTTGAGCATTTCTCGCTGGGACTGTCTTGTTTTCACACCTCGGGCTTCATGTTCTGAGAACCTTGTTTTTGTTCTTAGAACGTGTTGGGGTTCTAAGAACACGTTCGGTGGTAGGCCTATAGGAATGCTGGGACGGTCGGTCCCTGCTCAAGTATCGCCAATTCAAGCTCGATGCGTCCCCACCTCAGCCGGTCCCCCTCACGCTCCCTGTCAGGCTCCTCTAGCCATGGGTTGCCGGGGCTAACAGCACAGATGCTCATCATCCTCGACGCGGTTAGGGGCAGGTAGCTCTTCCGATCGCAGGGTACGCCCTCGGGGTGGGGATGGGTGTTGCGAGACCAGCGCCCATCCGCGCGGATAGGTTTCTGCAGACGTTTTGCCATCAGAGGTTGTTCAACGGGGTCGTCATGATTCCTCAGGCCCCATGTGGTTCATGGCCACCAGCTCCACCAATCCCGTACGCTTGGGTATAGTAGAGAGTGGGGCAGCCAGCACTGCGTGTTTTGGTTGCGGTTGTGTCGCGACCCAGGCTGTGCGGCACTTCAGGAAGTCGTACACCCGAGTCATTGGCGATTACAGGAAGAGACAGCTCCGCAAGGTTGCCAAGAGGCAGCTGCCTGGCAGGAGCAAATTGTCCCAAGAGCAATCCGCAAAGGAGTTGCTGAAGTGATGTGGAGACATGGCTGAGCCAGGAGTGAGAACAAACATCCGCGACGGAAGGGGAGCAGGTCGACCAGCGGGGTTTCCCCAGTGGGGGCGGGGGTGATTTTAGTTGTGCAGAGATACAGCAGGTTCGTATCGTGTAGACTCGGCGGCGACTCCAGCGCGGGCGTTCAAGGTTGTCACATCGTTGTCCCGTGGGTGGGCCCTTGTTGTCCCGTTGTTGTTTCGTGGTTGACCCGTGGTTGACCCGTGGTATCTGCTGGTTGTCCCGTCGTTGGTTTGGTTGCCTAGCGTTGTCCCGCGGTTGTCCTGTGATTATCCCGTGGCTGTCCTTCTGTAAGTATACACATGTGCGGCCGCATTCACATCGTGAGATATCAAAATTCGTAGATTGAGAGATCACAAATCCGATCCGACGACAATCGCAAATTGAGAGTTTCTCCCACCCACCCACCCCAATATGGACAAATCCTCATCACCCGACCCGACGGGATGATTTGCGTATACTATTTGCATTTTATATATGTAACGAGAGAGAGGGGGTTGTGGAAAACGGGGCAAAGAGAGAGGGAGAGGAAAGATAGCAGCGGGAGAGAGAACGCTAGACAGACGGCCCAGATATTCGAAGGTTTGTGTAGGCCGATGGGAGAGGGGACAGGCGGGATGGGCGATGGGGGGAGGCTCGCCCGCTCTTTCGGTGGGCCCGCTCGCGATGCCGCTCCTCCACCTCCTTCGAGCGAACTTCAGGCACTACGCCATCCGCCGGGCAGGAATTGCGACCGCGAAGGAGGAAGCACGAGGATGGAGGAAGGAAGGAAGGGGCAGGACGAGGAGAGAACGGAGGGGGAGGAGGAGGAGGACGAGGAGAAGGGAGGGAGGAGGGGGAGGAGGAGGACGAGGAGGAGGTGGAGGGGGAGGAGACTGAGGGGCCATGCCCTCCTTTTGCACACCGGATCTGTCTAACGCGCCCAGCTTGGGTGCTCATGACCAGGCCAGATCAGGACCCAGGAGGAAAGCCAGGACGAGGAGGGGGGGAGGAGGAGGCGCGGTAAGAGGAAGAGTGCGAAGACCAGGATAATGCGGTGGCAGGACGGGGCGGGAGCACCAGCAGAGGGGACCGACGATCTCTGCCCCCTCCGCCCCCCCGCGCGCGCGCCAGGGGTAAGCAGCGCCGGCGGCCCAGCCCGGCCAGCCCGCAAGAAGCGCCGGGCCCGCGCGCCGTAGCCGGACCATGGCCGGCGGAGGCGCCTCGCGAGGAGCGGCGGAAATCAGGAGCGATCCACACGTGCATGAATCCAGGCGATCGCAAACATGGATCAAGGGGGCGTGGACTAGCGACGGGTTCGTTTCCATGGGAAATCGAGGATTTTCGCCGCCGAGCGAGGCGGCACCGGCCGCATCTTGGGGAGGGCACCTCCCCCGATCCACGGATTTGGCGACCGCGCGCCAACTCCACGGATCGCCGATCCATGTCTGCGCGCCCCCGAGGGCTGGCCGCTGCTTGCGCTTGCGTGAGCAGGGGTCGGTTCCGCCTCTTCCCCCCTGGCTTGTGGCCAGGGGATGGAGGGGGCTTGCTTGGCATCGCTCGGACGTGTGCATTTTTCTTCCGGCGAGGACAATCGAGGAGCATCCTTGATCATTTGGCGAAAAAGCCACGCACGAAACAAACAAAAACAGGGAACGGACGTCCGAGCGATGGCGAGCTTGCCCCAGAGCCGTCCGCCGCGTCGAGCTCCGAGCCCGTGGGGCGATCGAGGGCCGGCGCAGCGAGGTGCTCGTTGGTCGTGCTGGGCCTCCTGGGGTGTCTCCTGTCGCCACGCCTGGAGTCGCCTCGAGGCTGGTGTGGCCCCGCAGGGGAGTCTTCGGAGGAGGGCTCGAGCTAAACGGTGTTTTGGCAATTGCGTGGACCGTTTTCGTTTTGACTTCGTTTTGCAGCAAACGTGGAACGAAGACAGAACTAGGGATGACGAAAGCAAAACGAAAACGGAAAACACTGTTTAATTCGAGCCCTGCTTGGGAGGAAGACGAGGAAGGGACGGGTGGAGGAGGGAGGGGCCTGCGGAGCTCCGGAGAGCCAGGGGGATTCTCGGGGTGGGTGGGTGATGGGGGGGATTTCCGCCAGCGTTCTTGCTCCCGCCCTCCTCCTGTCTCCTCTTCCTCCTCCTCCTGCTCCTGCTCCTCCTCCTCCTCCTGCTCCTGCTCCTCCTCCTCCTCTTCCTCCTTCTCATCCTCCTCCTACTGGTGCCTGTGCTGGGGAGATGGCCCGGAGAGCTGCTGCCCCCCAGGAGCTGGCGGTCATCACGCTTGATCAGGATAAGCTGAATCGGAATATCAGTCGGAGACTCCTAGCCATCCAGCGTGAAGTTTCTGCAGTATCCGCGTGGACTAGCGACGGGTCCCGTTTCGATGGGACATCGCGGATTTCCATGGGAGATCGCCGAGCGAGGAAGCACCGGCCGCATTTTGGGGAGGGCACCTCCCCGATCCAGGGATTTGGCGACCGCGCGCCAAATCCATGGATCGCTAATCCTTGTTTGCGCGCCCCCGAACTCGTTCGGTCCGCACTTTTTTCCCTCAGCTTGGGCCTGGGGCCATCAGCAATTCATCGGAGGTAGCTTGACCCTTCCCCGTATCCCTACCATCCCTCGTCCGCCCCCAATTTCCAGCTAGCAGTCTTCCGTAGTGTTTTGGCTCCACACGTTCTCACACAGGCATTTCAGAGCCAGGGGCGCATCCGCGTTTGCAAAAGCGAATCCTCGCCGTCCCCGCGACCCGATGTCTGTCATTAGGCGGCTGGGCGTATTGGCGACAACTGCGCGTTTGACCGCTGCGTCGGATGTTTGTTCTGACGATTTGAGCAGTTGCAGCGGCACGAACGCCTTGGTCCTCGCAGCGCTTCAGCTCGACGCTGCGGATGGCGACCCCGCAGTGGGTTTGGTCCAGTACTATTGAAGACGCCTACGGCGAATAATCGCCGCCCCATGCCTTCCGAAAGAACATGTATCGGACTATGCGTTCCCCCAGTCGTTGCGAACACAATTCGTGGAACGCGAGTGGGAGAAAAAGTAAGAGGAGGAAAGGGATGAAGAAGGAGAAGCAGTAGGCGGAGGAAGGAGAGGCATTTCGGGAGCCTCTTTGGGCACTCTCGTGGCTTCCTGGGGGCCTCTTGGAGGCCTCTTGGGGGCCTTCCGTGGGTCTCTTGGCGGCCTTTGGATGCTCCTTGGGACTGTGAGGTTCTTTGGCCGTCAGAGGTCGATCCTAGCCGTAAGTCGGGCATGTCCCTCTACAGGGACGTCATGGGGGCCTTTTGACCCACCTTTGCGCGATTTGGGGAGCCTTTTTCGGTCGTCGTAGAGCGTCAAAAGCCCGAAACGGAGAGAGCATTCGCATCCTTCCAGAACATCAGAGTGAGGGGGCCGAACGGTCATTCACTGTCCCTGGGTGCGTGGCCGAAGTGGGATTCCGCGGTGCAGATTCTCGTTGTTGTTTGTTGTTGTTTGTAAGTGTTTGTTGTTGTTTGTTGTTGTTGTTGTTTGTTGTCGTCGTCCCACCCGCAAACCCCCGCCCCGCGACCCACCCGCGACCCACCCGCGACCCACCCCGCGACCCACCCCGCGACTCACCCGCGACCCACCCGCGACCTACCCGCGACCCACCCCGCGACCTACCCGCGACCCACCCCGCGACCCACCCCGCGACCAACCCGCGACCCACCGGCGACCCACCCGCGACCTACCCCGCGACCCACCCCACGACCCACCCCGCGACCCACCCGCGACCCACCCGCGACCTACCCGCGACCTACCCGCGACCCACCCGCGACCCACCCCGCGACCCACCCGCGACCCACCTTCGACCCAAATCACATTCAAGGTACAAACAAACATTTTCGGCGCCTGCGGCTGGCTTTTTGTTGCAGTCCTTCGAGGTGGAGAGCCCGCGACCCACCCCGCGACCAACTCGCGACCAACCCGCGACCCAAACCACGATCAGGATACAAACCATATTTTTCGGCGCCTGCGGCGGGCATCTTTTGCATTCGCTCCAGGTGGAGAGCCCGCGGCCCACCCGCGACCACGGTTTTCAGGGTACAAACCAAATTTTTTGGCGCCTGCGGCGGGCATCTTTTGCATTCTCTCGGAGGAGAACCCGCGGCCCACCCGCGACCCAAACCACGTTCAGTGTACAGACCAATTGTTTCGGCGCCTGCGGCGGGCTGCTTTTGCATTCCTTCCAAGTGGAGGTGGAGAGCCCGCGACCCACCTGCGACCCAAATCACGTTCACTGAACAAACCAAGGCCGCACAAGCGCGGCTGCGGATTTTAGCATGCCGTCTGAGCCCGCAACGACCTCTTCAAGCCCCGCGCATCCACGCCAGCCCGTCCAGCAATTTTGCCCTGGCGAGTTGCCTTGATCAGAGAAGTCGGGGAGCATATAATGGAAAAAACGATTGCGTTGCCGTGATCTTGGGAAAGGAGGGGGGGGCAGGAGGAGTAAACAGGGGACGAGGAGGACGCAGAAGAAGAGAGGATGTAAGGAGACTGTAGATAAAGAGGAGGAGGAGGAGCAGGAGGACGAGGAGGGGGAGGAGGAGGAGGAGGGGAGGAGGAGAACGAGAAGAAGGAGGGGGGGAGGTGGAGAGGAGGATGATGATGGACGACAATGGGAGGACGATGATGGAGGCCGATGACGGGGAGGACGACAATGGGAGGACGATGATGGAAGGACGAGGGGGGGAGAGGGAGAACGAGGAAGAAGAGGAGGAGGAAGCGGAGGACGAGGAGGAGGAGGAGGACGATGACGATGACGATGACGATGAGGACGAGGACGAGGACGAGGAGGAGGAGGAGGAGGAGGAGGAGGAGGAGGAGGAGGAAAGCGCCATCGACAAGGAAGGCGGGGGCCACGAGGTCCGCTGGCTCTACGACGCCCGCGTCGCCCGCGCCAGCCCCCTCACTCTTATCCGCAATTGCGGGGTGCTACGTATAACGAACCAATGATTCTGGCATCTCGAGGTCCTTCGGGGGTCCTCTTGGAGCCCTCTTGAGGCTTCTTGGGGGCCTCGCGATCCGTCTTGGGAACAGCTTGAGCGTCTTGGAGCGATCTTTGGCCGACCCAGGGCCATTTTGGAGCGTCTTGGCCCGCCTTGGGACCCGACTGCCTCTGGCAAGGTCACGCGGCCGACCCCAAGAGCGCCAAATGGTGCCCAGACGATTTGAAAATTTGGGCCATTGGCCCCTATCGTAAGATTTTCAGTTTCAGCACGGAGAACTTCAAGCGACCTGAGGCCCTGAGGGCACTACAACTCTTGCCTCAGGGCACAGTGGCGGATAAGGGCAGAGTTCGATATTGGACCTCACGTCCGCAGAGTGACGGGGATGGTACGCCGAGCGCGTCAGCGACATTTCGCAACTTGCGAAGAGGCAGTGACGCCGACCGGACTGGTGTTCGTGATCTGACAGGAGGCGCCCACGGCTTATTGGGAACGCAGGCGGGCGATTTTACCCTGGTGCGGCCGGGACGACCGGTCGGCGCCAACGCGAGATCCCAGGAATCAAGCAGTGGCGAAGCGTCCTGTCTCGCCTATAGGCCTACCCGAGAATGTTCCATGAACCCTTTTGTGGTTTCAACGAAATGTTCTTAGAACATGTCTGGGTGGGGCTGCTGTCTTGTTTTAACACATCGGGTTTATGTTCCAAGAACCTTGTTTTTGTTCTTAGATCATTTTTGGGTTCTCGGAACATGTCGTGGTAGGCCTATGGGAATGCCGGGACGGTCGGTCCCTGCTCCAAGGAAGCAGGGCGCCTCGCAGTCAGCACCAGACAAGACACCGCTGCCGAGACGCCACGCAGCGACGGCAGCCCCTCGGCGGACGTGGCGAGTGGAGCCCCCCGGGCGCGACGGAGCGCCCCCGGCCCCCTCGGCGACCTCACGGCGCGGCCCGGGGGCGTGCTCGGCGGGGCGGCGGGAGCTGCGCACGAAAGGTTTGCGGCTGCCAGTGGCCATCTGCACGATGCCATCGGCGGCCTGCTGGAGAGCTCGGGCCATGCGATGGAGCCCCCCGCGGGTTCGGGCATCGCCTTTCACTCCTCCTCGGGTGCGTCGGGCGGTCTCGCCGGGTCGGGCTCTGATAATTTAGGCAGGGCTGCGCAGAAGGCTGTCCGATCTGCCTTCGGCACCGGTGAGCACAGGTTGCTTTCTCTGGCGCCGCAGGCTTCTACGCCCCGCGGAGTTTTTCTTTTAGTCATCCGTGAGGGCTTCGCCCCCTGCCGCCAGCCCCATATCTCGGAAAATGCGCTATGCGAGAGCTATGTCATGAGGCCTGGGCGCCGTCGTGAAGCACTATCGGATGTTCATGCATGGCCGATTCGTTATCGGCGAAACCAATTGACTTGTCTTGTGAGCCTGACCCCGCCGATCTGCGTGAGGGGCGCCAGCGAATTTCAAAAATATGGCAAATCCCCTGTGTTTTTGGACCCTGACCCCGCCGATCTGTGTGAGGGGTGCCACCGTATTTTAAGAAATGTTGAAAATCCCATGTGTTGTTGGACCCTGACCCTGGCGATCCGCGTGAGGGGTGCCACTGAATTTTAGACATTTTGAGAATCCCCTGTGTTTGGGGACCCTGACCCCGCCGATCTGGGTGAAGGGTGCCATCGGATTTAAACAATGTGGCACATCCCATTTGTTTTTGGACCCTGACCCCGCCGATCTGTGTGAGGGGTGCCACCGAATGTCAGAAATGTAGCAGATCCCTTGTGTTGTTGGACCCTGACCCCGCCGATCTGCGTGAGGGGCGCCAGCGAATTTCAAAAATATGGCAAATCCATTGTGTTTTTGCACCCTGACCCCGCCGATCTGTGCGTGAGGGGTGCCACCGAATTTCAGAAATGTAGCAAATCCCTTGTGTTGTGGGACCCTGACCCCGCCGATCTGCGTGAGGGGTGCCACTGAATTTAAGACATGTGGCTAATCCTTTTTGTTTGTGGACCCTGACCCCGCCGATCTGCGAGAGGGGTGTCAAATTGTTCCCACCCCAGAAATTCAGAACACACGCTCAGGGCGTGCTAAACCTGCCCGTTTTGGGCCTCCCCCCCTCGCGCGGTCCATCAACAAGGAGCAGTAAGCAGCAAGAAGCAGAACTGTAACAGTGGAAACTGGAAGCTGCAACTGGTACAGGAAACTGCGAACCTTCGCCTTACAGCATGGTGGCCCCACAAGGGGGGCCGGCGGATTCCAGCCCTCCTGATCCCTTTCATATGCTTGTGTGTTCTATATTCGCCTTCTGCTGAAGCGAGCTGCCCCTGATGATCGGCGGCGGCGATCGATAGGACTCTGGCACCGCTCGAGGGCTCCCCATCCTCCTGCCCATGATCCTCTTCTAAGGAGGAGGATCAGCAGCAGGAAAAGCAGGTGCAGGGGGAACAGAAAAAAAGCAGCTGGAACAGGAGGACCAGCGATGTCAATGGGGGATCTAATTGCTTACCCTCGCATTCACGAGTGTTTCCTTCGGTTCTCTATCCTTGAGGCAGCCCCATCGTTACAACTGGACGCGGGGTGAACGCTGTCCGGGATGGTACCAGAGCTTATGGGAGCGATTTCTGGCTAGGGGAGAGAAGGTTTGTCCAGTTGGTGCGCAAATCAACGGCCGGGTTCCATCTCGATTATCATTTCGTCCTCCGTCTATTTTACCCATCTTGTTCTGTTGACCACGTGGACACACACACACACACATCTCTATCCCTCCATATATATACACATGCTTACATATACACATATATATATATACACATATATATGTGTGATTGCCGCAGAGAGTCCTATTCGTTATCGTGGTATTGGCTCCCTCCACTGTCGATTGGAACGTTGGGATCACCGATGTTGCCATTGCGCCCAAGGGTGTTGCAACTGTTTCGATGGCAGACTTCATGGTCTCAAAATTTAGAGGTCGAGAAAGAGAATCCTCTCAGGTTGGTTCCCAGCGATTGTAACGGTATTCTCAGCGCGATCGTTGCGGACAGGATTATCTTCCCGGTTTATGCATGTCAATTGCAGTTTGTGGACCAGGAGAAGAGGGAGGAGGGTAGGGATGGGCCCGTTTCTTCCTATTGCTCCGGCGCTCCCACGGTTTCCACCCCTCCTTCTCCCTCCTCCCTCGTTCTCTCTCCTCCTCCTTGTTCAATCTCGGTTCGAGGGCCTTTAGCCCAGAGGCGACGCCAAGATTCGCAGCGCCAGGCACTTCCATTGAACGCGTCGCGGGACTGGACACACGCCATTTCAGCGTGTGGGTGATTCAAGTCACCCGCCTTCAATTCCGCGCGCGCCAAGGATCCAAGAGACCCACGCCGGGCGGATTCTGCACCCCCGCAGCCCAAGCCACAAGACAAGGGCCGCCCAAAGACAACCGTTCGTGATCGCCAAGGCAGGAACTGAGTCGAAAGGAAACCTGCGTCGCCGCAGTCAGGAGCAGTGGTGGCGTCAAAAGAGCAGTCGCTGCATACAACGAACCAGCTCACAAGGGCCAAGCCGAACTTGGCGCCATTTACCAACCACATCGCCCCGACTAGGGTAAACTCAAGGGTGAGCTGTTGAAGCTGCACGGGGAAAGCCACGATCAGCTACACGATGCGGCACTATTCTGAAGTCGGGCCTGTCCCTCTACAGGAGGAATATTCAAAGATAGTCATAAAACAGTCTGGGGACGTTTTTGGGACCATTTTCGAAATTTGTTGAGTATTTTTTTGATTTAAGTGTTCGTCCAAAATCCTAACACTACTCCCTGACGCGCACGACGGATTCCAGCCGTGACCCACCAGGGTCCACGGCTCCGGCCCTCGCCCGCCAGGACAACGGCACCGCCCCGTTCATCAGTTTGGACGCGTCGAACTTGGATGTCCCCATCGTTATCGCTCTCCGCCTCCTCCTCCTCCTCAACCTCAAAAGGGCGGAGGACGGCCCATCGCACTCCAGCAGATTCTCTCTTCACACGCTAGAAAAGGGCAACCGCCTCCCGCAGTAGATCCGCCGCCAGGACGAACCCCTCGCACTGACCGTCGTGGGACCATACAGCACGGAGTACCCAGGGACAGAAGTCCGAGTCCTTGTAATCCGTCGGACAGCTACGGTTATCAAACACACTCCAAGACACATACAGGGAACCATATACCAACTAGACCGTACAGAGGTCAATGCTTGCAAAACGTCGTCCAGGTCATTCTCGATCCAGCAGACCACGTAATGTGCCTTCTGTTGTGTTCTGTTACTCTCTGGGAGGGCCTCGGCTCAATAGACTTCATCCGACTTCCTACTTTAATGTGTTTACTTATTTCTTCTGACCAAAGCCGACGAGTACGCAGTCCAGGCCGAGGAACCCGACGACGAGGTGCACCATGGAACAGACCTGCCTCAGGTTGGCGTAGAGCCGGCACGCTGAAGCCCGCGCCGGGCCTGTCCAGATCCACCGCGCTCGAGCCCCCTGAACGTCGATGTCTGAGGGAAGGCTTGCTGCTCGCAGCCGAAGGGGGCCTAACGTCGATGACTGGCCATCCTTCCGCGCTCCGCGGAGCACCCGAGTGGCACTCCCTCGGGCAGCCTTCCCCTCGCTCCGTCATGCTGGCAGCCAGGCTTGCTGTCGAGCCTGCTGCTGCCCGGCGCCCGCCTCGCCCCCCGTATGCTGCACGGAGGAGGCGCTGCACGGCGACCGCGGGGCGCACCTTGGCGCCACGAGCCGGCCGATGTCCTCCGCCGGAGCGGCGCCGAGGTCCGCAGCCGCAGGAGCCGCTGCCGGGGCGGTGCCCTCCTCCTTGGGTGGCGCTGCCCTGGCGCCGCTGCGGGGCGGGCCCCTGGCTGCACCTGCGGAGGTCGCCCCGCTGTCGCCCGACGGTCTGCTTCTGGCGCAGGCTGCGCAGCTGAGGTTTGGGCGCCAGGCTGCGCCTCCGCCGTGCGCTGCCGCCTGGAGCCGAGCCGTTTCGGCATGGCATCTGCCTCCACGCGGAGCTGCCCCAGGATTTTCGGCATCGTTTCACCAACCCCCATCCTCATCCCCATCCCCCTTCGAGACCCCCACCAAATTACCACCCCAGTTGAGAATACACCCCTCGAAACTCGAAGGGAACGACCTGTATCCCCATCTAGGGGGGTAGATCGGCCAGTGGGGCCCAGGCCACGCCGCTGGGATGGGGATCGGTTAAACGATATTCTGATTTCCTTGCCCTCTCGCTGATTGGCTCCCTGACCTTCCCTGGAGATCCGCCGCGAGCCTCGCTTGGAGAGCACCCATCGTCTTTGTGTCACGCTCGTCAACTTCCGAGCCTTCCGTCGAGAAGGCCGCGCCTGCCTCGAAGGCGAACTTCCCTCGCCATCAAGCAGCCTCGTAAGATAGAACGCTGCTGGGGTGTTCGGGAGGGGCGGGCATGTGCACTCCCCCCTTGTCGGCGCAGACCACGCCCCGCGCACGCTGGCACTCTTGAAGTGCCCTCCCTTCCTCGGCCTGAGCCTGTGCACACTGGCAGGCCGCCTCCTCCGTGGCCTTCCTGCGCTCGTTGTACCACTCAAGAGCCTTCCGCTCACTCTTCTGCTGCCCTGTCTAGAGCCGGTTTGGCCCTCCGCTCCGCTGCCCCCGCCCCGTTGCACGCCTCACGTGGCGGCTCCACCTTTGTCGGCGCGGGGGAAGGTTCCAGCTTGATGGCAGCCAGGATCTGGGCAACCTGGGAGCAACTCGTCTGGTGACATGTCCATTGGCTTCTTGCTCCGCTCCCCACTCTCGTTACCGCGCCCTTTGCGAGCACGCCGAGACTTGGGCCACTCGCTCCACGCTTCATGCTCGCTGATCAAGCCACCGCTGGAGCCTCTTCTCCTAAGCTCCCTGGACACAGGCGTCGACCTCCATGGCAGTTGCGCCTCGAAAGTCTTGCCGCACTTGAAGCACGTGCCACGATTTTCCCAAGTCCATTTGCACCGGCACGACCCGCATCTAGTATTTCCATCCACGAACTTGACCTGCACGAAATGCTCCACAGAGCTCACCAACTCCACCTGGCTGCAGCTGAAGTACGCTCCGCGGAGCTCACCAGCCTGGCCTTGCTGAAGGCTAGGTTCCAGCATGGAGAGAACCAGGCGAAACAATTGGGAACTGGCCGCGGAATAGCGGTGTGCGTGTGGTCCGCAGTGGAACCTTGCATCTTGAGCAAAAAGGGCTACGGAATGAGGAGGAGGAGGAGGTGGAGAAGGAGGGAGAGGGGGGTGATGGGCAAGGTCCGTCGGGAGGGCAATCTCCCCCCCTTGATAAACAAAACCCATCCAGACGAGGCACGGCGACATCAATGACATAGCTTGGACACATATGGCAAGTAATGTTTCAGAGTGACGGAATATGGAATCTCATTCATGTTTTTTTCCTAGGAGGCTACGGCTCTCCTTGGCCCCCCCAGCTGGTCGCGGTTCTACCCGCAGTAGAGCCAGATAGACGCTCGCTCGCTTGCCCATCCAGAGAAGGCTCTTGAGCCCACATGGTTCCGCGCCGAGGGCACCGAGGCATCACCGAAAAGTCGCTGCGGCACCACCGAAGCATCGGCGATGCATCGACGATGCGGCGCGATCCTCCGACCACACCTACTCCGACCTCATCTGGAAGGCCTCTACAGTGGAGGCCCATGCCAAAAAACACCCTGCTTGCCTCCAGGGTGCCTTGGGTTTCTTGGGTTCCGATGGTTTTGCCATGGAGAGCGTCACGCTCCCACGCAAAAAAAACAGTGGGCGCCCTGGGGTCTCATGGTAGTGGCTCTTGCGGGAGGTTTCTTGTGGACTGGCCTTCACTGTGCTCCGACCTCACCCAGGAGGAGGAGGAGGAGGAGGAGGAGGAGGAGGAGGAGGAGGAGGAGGAGGACGACGACGACGACGAAGACGACGCCACCTGCTGCTGCCTCTGCCGCAACTCCTCCGCGAGGCTCTCGCGCTCGGCCTGGAGGGAATTGGCCATGCTCGCCCTCTCCTGCGGCCAAGGGGCAATATTAGTCGGCAGTGTTAGGAGGAGGAGGAGGAGGAGGAGGAAGAGGAGGAGGAGGAGGAGGAGGAGGAGGAGGAGGAGGAGGAGGAGGGGGAGGGGGAGGAGGCCTCTTCAGTTAGGCCTTTGAGCCCAGATGGCTCCTCGCCCGCGCGCGGGGCGCATGCGGCGGCCGCGCGGCGCCGCCCTGGCGGCCCTGGCGGCCGCGGCGGCGGCGGGCACCCGCCAGCTGCGGCCGGCGTTCTGCGGCGCGGGAGCCGCGGGGGCGCCCGGCATGCTGGCAAGGCCGGGCGCCTCCTGCGTTCAGAATGCAACTGCGTGTAAGAATCGAAGAAGAAGACATGGCATGAACATAAACGTAAGACGACAGAATGACAACATGGCCGAATCCGAGGAAAAATGCACATGGGCATGAAGTTTCGGCGCGCCGCGCG